CGATATAAATAGGCCATTGTAACGCCCTTAATGACCACGAAATTATCACGATATAAATAGGCCATTGTAACGCCCTTAATGACCACGAAATTATCACGATATAAATAGGCCATTGTAACGCCCTTAATGACCACGAAATTATCACGATATAAATAGGCCATTGTAACGCCCTTAATGACCACGAAATTATCACGATATAAATAGGCCATTGTAACGCCCTTAATGACCACGAAATTATCACGATATAAATAGGCCATTGTAACGCCCTTAATGACCACGAAATTATCACGATATAAATAGGCCATTGTAACGCCCTTAATGACCACGAAATTATCACGATATAAATAGGCCATTGTAACGCCCTTAATGACCACGAAATTATCACGATATAAATAGGCCATTGTAACGCCCTTAATGACCACGAAATTATCACGATATAAATAGGCCATTGTAACGCCCTTAATGACCACGAAATTATCACGATATAAATAGGCCATTGTAACGCCCTTAATGACCACGAAATTATCACGATATAAATAGGCCATTGTAACGCCCTTAATGACCACGAAATTATCACGATATAAATAGGCCATTGTAACGCCCTTAATGACCACGAAATTATCACGATATAAATAGGCCATTGTAACGCCCTTAATGACCACGAAATTATCACGATATAAATAGGCCATTGTAACGCCCTTAATGACCACGAAATTATCACGATATAAATAGGCCATTGTAACGCCCTTAATGACCACGAAATTATCACGATATAAATAGGCCATTGTAACGCCCTTAATGACCACGAAATTATCACGATATAAATAGGCCATTGTAACGCCCTTAATGACCACGAAATTATCACGATATAAATAGGCCATTGTAACGCCCTTAATGACCACGAAATTATCACGATATAAATAGGCCATTGTAACGCCCTTAATGACCACGAAATTATCACGATATAAATAGGCCATTGTAACGCCCTTAATGACCACGAAATTATCACGATATAAATAGGCCATTGTAACGCCCTTAATGACCACGAAATTATCACGATATAAATAGGCCATTGTAACGCCCTTAATGACCACGAAATTATCACGATATAAATAGGCCATTGTAACGCCCTTAATGACCACGAAATTATCACGATATAAATAGGCCATTGTAACGCCCTTAATGACCACGAAATTATCACGATATAAATAGGCCATTGTAACGCCCTTAATGACCACGAAATTATCACGATATAAATAGGCCATTGTAACGCCCTTAATGACCACGAAATTATCACGATATAAATAGGCCATTGTAACGCCCTTAATGACCACGAAATTATCACGATATAAATAGGCCATTGTAACGCCCTTAATGACCACGAAATTATCACGATATAAATAGGCCATTGTAACGCCCTTAATGACCACGAAATTATCACGATATAAATAGGCCATTGTAACGCCCTTAATGACCACGAAATTATCACGATATAAATAGGCCATTGTAACGCCCTTAATGACCACGAAATTATCACGATATAAATAGGCCATTGTAACGCCCTTAATGACCACGAAATTATCACGATATAAATAGGCCATTGTAACGCCCTTAATGACCACGAAATTATCACGATATAAATAGGCCATTGTAACGCCCTTAATGACCACGAAATTATCACGATATAAATAGGCCATTGTAACGCCCTTAATGACCACGAAATTATCACGATATAAATAGGCCATTGTAACGCCCTTAATGACCACGAAATTATCACGATATAAATAGGCCATTGTAACGCCCTTAATGACCACGAAATTATCACGATATAAATAGGCCATTGTAACGCCCTTAATGACCACGAAATTATCACGATATAAATAGGCCATTGTAACGCCCTTAATGACCACGAAATTATCACGATATAAATAGGCCATTGTAACGCCCTTAATGACCACGAAATTATCACGATATAAATAGGCCATTGTAACGCCCTTAATGACCACGAAATTATCACGATATAAATAGGCCATTGTAACGCCCTTAATGACCACGAAATTATCACGATATAAATAGGCCATTGTAACGCCCTTAATGACCACGAAATTATCACGATATAAATAGGCCATTGTAACGCCCTTAATGACCACGAAATTATCACGATATAAATAGGCCATTGTAACGCCCTTAATGACCACGAAATTATCACGATATAAATAGGCCATTGTAACGCCCTTAATGACCACGAAATTATCACGATATAAATAGGCCATTGTAACGCCCTTAATGACCACGAAATTATCACGATATAAATAGGCCATTGTAACGCCCTTAATGACCACGAAATTATCACGATATAAATAGGCCATTGTAACGCCCTTAATGACCACGAAATTATCACGATATAAATAGGCCATTGTAACGCCCTTAATGACCACGAAATTATCACGATATAAATAGGCCATTGTAACGCCCTTAATGACCACGAAATTATCACGATATAAATAGGCCATTGTAACGCCCTTAATGACCACGAAATTATCACGATATAAATAGGCCATTGTAACGCCCTTAATGACCACGAAATTATCACGATATAAATAGGCCATTGTAACGCCCTTAATGACCACGAAATTATCACGATATAAATAGGCCATTGTAACGCCCTTAATGACCACGAAATTATCACGATATAAATAGGCCATTGTAACGCCCTTAATGACCACGAAATTATCACGATATAAATAGGCCATTGTAACGCCCTTAATGACCACGAAATTATCACGATATAAATAGGCCATTGTAACGCCCTTAATGACCACGAAATTATCACGATATAAATAGGCCATTGTAACGCCCTTAATGACCACGAAATTATCACGATATAAATAGGCCATTGTAACGCCCTTAATGACCACGAAATTATCACGATATAAATAGGCCATTGTAACGCCCTTAATGACCACGAAATTATCACGATATAAATAGGCCATTGTAACGCCCTTAATGACCACGAAATTATCACGATATAAATAGGCCATTGTAACGCCCTTAATGACCACGAAATTATCACGATATAAATAGGCCATTGTAACGCCCTTAATGACCACGAAATTATCACGATATAAATAGGCCATTGTAACGCCCTTAATGACCACGAAATTATCACGATATAAATAGGCCATTGTAACGCCCTTAATGACCACGAAATTATCACGATATAAATAGGCCATTGTAACGCCCTTAATGACCACGAAATTATCACGATATAAATAGGCCATTGTAACGCCCTTAATGACCACGAAATTATCACGATATAAATAGGCCATTGTAACGCCCTTAATGACCACGAAATTATCACGATATAAATAGGCCATTGTAACGCCCTTAATGACCACGAAATTATCACGATATAAATAGGCCATTGTAACGCCCTTAATGACCACGAAATTATCACGATATAAATAGGCCATTGTAACGCCCTTAATGACCACGAAATTATCACGATATAAATAGGCCATTGTAACGCCCTTAATGACCACGAAATTATCACGATATAAATAGGCCATTGTAACGCCCTTAATGACCACGAAATTATCACGATATAAATAGGCCATTGTAACGCCCTTAATGACCACGAAATTATCACGATATAAATAGGCCATTGTAACGCCCTTAATGACCACGAAATTATCACGATATAAATAGGCCATTGTAACGCCCTTAATGACCACGAAATTATCACGATATAAATAGGCCATTGTAACGCCCTTAATGACCACGAAATTATCACGATATAAATAGGCCATTGTAACGCCCTTAATGACCACGAAATTATCACGATATAAATAGGCCATTGTAACGCCCTTAATGACCACGAAATTATCACGATATAAATAGGCCATTGTAACGCCCTTAATGACCACGAAATTATCACGATATAAATAGGCCATTGTAACGCCCTTAATGACCACGAAATTATCACGATATAAATAGGCCATTGTAACGCCCTTAATGACCACGAAATTATCACGATATAAATAGGCCATTGTAACGCCCTTAATGACCACGAAATTATCACGATATAAATAGGCCATTGTAACGCCCTTAATGACCACGAAATTATCACGATATAAATAGGCCATTGTAACGCCCTTAATGACCACGAAATTATCACGATATAAATAGGCCATTGTAACGCCCTTAATGACCACGAAATTATCACGATATAAATAGGCCATTGTAACGCCCTTAATGACCACGAAATTATCACGATATAAATAGGCCATTGTAACGCCCTTAATGACCACGAAATTATCACGATATAAATAGGCCATTGTAACGCCCTTAATGACCACGAAATTATCACGATATAAATAGGCCATTGTAACGCCCTTAATGACCACGAAATTATCACGATATAAATAGGCCATTGTAACGCCCTTAATGACCACGAAATTATCACGATATAAATAGGCCATTGTAACGCCCTTAATGACCACGAAATTATCACGATATAAATAGGCCATTGTAACGCCCTTAATGACCACGAAATTATCACGATATAAATAGGCCATTGTAACGCCCTTAATGACCACGAAATTATCACGATATAAATAGGCCATTGTAACGCCCTTAATGACCACGAAATTATCACGATATAAATAGGCCATTGTAACGCCCTTAATGACCACGAAATTATCACGATATAAATAGGCCATTGTAACGCCCTTAATGACCACGAAATTATCACGATATAAATAGGCCATTGTAACGCCCTTAATGACCACGAAATTATCACGATATAAATAGGCCATTGTAACGCCCTTAATGACCATGAATTGAAAACGATATAAATAGGCCATTGTAACGCCCTTAATGACCACGAAATTAGCACGATATAAATAGGCCTAAGACTCACTCCAAATGCAAAGTAAGTCTGAGTGAGTGAGGACCGAGAGATATCGACTGAGTGAAGCCTCTGCCCGAGCTGATGAACGATGCCACTTGCAAGGCGTGTCACTCAGGCCTGTTGGGGCTTTTGTGTTCCGGGAGGGGAGTTGGGGGGTTAGCGGGGGTGCAGTAGCCCTAGCAGAGGAAGGTTCTTGGACAATTAGTACCCTAACCATGATGAAGATGAATAAATAGCCATTGTATATGTACACTAGACATCGTATGGAATCCTGCGATAACAAATTTGATGGGCTCTAAGATGTGGACCTGTTTTAGAAAAGAATGGGTTAATCTTTCAAGTATGGACGCACTAGGCTAATTGAAGATGATATTCTAGCAGAGGATAAAAATTCGCACTCGTTGGGGACTAGAAATAACCTCCAGACGCAAACGCTAACACCACAATTACAGCAAAAGTGCCGAGGTCATGGTGAGCGCTTGAACCATGTATCTTTGATAAATGATTGCAGGCATACCTTTACTTTATGCAGCTAGGTTGTTTTCCAGGAGTGTTGTTTTTTTGAGTTCTTGAATTACATGGCCTTAGTTTTTCACTCTGTGGGGTCTTTCATTCAGGGCACGAAGTCAGTAGCAATCACTTGATGACTTGATGAATCACTGTCTTTTAAGCATTTACTGCTGATAAAGTTAATTTGTTTTAAGTGAACCTTTTATTATGTTTGCTGCCTTGATATAATTTTAGATTGCTTGGTATATATGCTGAGAGTATGAAATAAACCATTTACAAAATATACATTTACAATGTATATCACCATTGGTGCCAAAATTTGTTTCTATTGGTGATATTGAATTTACATAATAATTACTATGTATTTATGGCAATAATAATATACCAAATGATTCCATTCTACTGAACAATTATATTGCTCTGCCAAACAGAATGCTAGTAGCTATACTAATCCATACTAATAATTTAACTAGAATTATTCAGTGCTATTCTAAGAAACATAGATGTATGCTTCTCATTCAAGTTCAGATGGATTTAATTTTTGAATTTTGCATATTGGGGAAGATATATTTTGCATATTTTCCATTTTGTCAAGAACAAATTCAGCATTCATTCTTTTTGCAAACAAACCATAATAACAATATTAACCCTTTTAGTATTGGAGGGCTTGATAAAGTCTCATTTTGAAAGCAGATGCATATGGTTTCTCAACATTTACCATTGTTCATTCTCCCCCCCCCCCCTCCAAATAGAGTAATTAGTGTATTGCTAGAAATAAGAATAACACGAATAAGATAAGATAAGAAAATAAATAAAGTAGGTACAGTATATCGTCCTATTCTGATCTTACCTCCTTTCTCCCGTAGGCAAGAAAACAGCACGAGACATATGTGGCCACGTTACGTGAGATTGGCCTGGACGTGATTGAGCTTCCCCCAGATGAGGTCCACCCCCACTGCATGTTCGTTGAAGATGTGGCTGTGGTTTGCAATGGCATAGCACTCTTGACCAGACCTGGGCACCCGTCCAGAGAGAAGGAGGTATGTACACATTCTGTGCTATCATTTTCTTTTGTGTTCCTTTTTATTCTGTGTTCTTGCTGTTGTTATTATTGTTTTCTTGTTTGTGACTGTATTGTTAGCTTTTTAGGGGTTATATGTATATAATTCAGTATTGAAAATTTGCTTAACCCATTGCCACCGGGGAAATGAAAAAAAAATGGGGAAAATGCTGTGCCTATTTTCTATACTTTTTTGTTAAATGTCTGCCCGTAGATGGCTCTGTTAGCGCCTGATTTGAAATGTCAGAAAAAAACGTATTTTTCACGAGTGCCATGAATATCGATGGTGTTATTTTCATCATAAACATTATAATTTTTACAATGTTTTTTAACATTTGTAACAGCAAAATAAGATATTGTAAAATATTACGTAAATCAAAGAATAGGGTGAACGGGCGAGACGGGCGGTACTCGTAACTGGCTCATTGGTGATTTACTACAAGTGTAGCCATCTATGTGTGAAAACAATCTAACAAGTAATCTCACAGTGAGCATGGCATGGCATGCCCGGCAGGAATGGGTTAATGTTATTGTATTGGTTAATGCTGGAGAGATACGCATGTGTGTTTACCATATAACATCATAGATAAATACAAAAAATAGCTGTAAGATGATGTTAACAAGGATCCTACTGTAGTTAGATGAGAGTGTTATCTACTTTTTTTTTTTTTTAATGATTTAGAATTAATATACTTACAAATGGCACAGAGTATTAGCATTACTTTTTTTTATTATCAGTGTTATCTTGTTTATTATTATCATTATTATTATTGTTGTTATATATATTATTATTATTATTATTATTATTATTATTATTATTATTATTATTATTATTATTATTATTATTATTATTATTATTATTATTATTATTATTATTATTATTATTATTATTATTATTATTATTATTATTATTATTATTATTATTATTATTATTATTATTATTATTATTATTATTATTATTATTATTATTATTATTATTATTATTATTATTATTATTATTATTATTATTATTATTATTATTATTATTATTATTATTATTATTATTATTATTATTATTATTATTATTATTATTATTATTATTATTATTATTATTATTATTATTATTATTATTATTATTATTATTATTATTATTATTATTATTATTATTATTATTATTATTATTATTATTATTATTATTATTATTATTATTATTATTATTATTATTATTATTATTATTATTATTATTATTATTATTATTATTATTATTATTATTATTGTTATTATTATTATTATTATTATTATTATTATTATTATTATTACTGAAATTATTGCAGGTTGAGTACATGCGATCCATATTGAAAAATGAACTCGAGTTGCCCGTCATTGAGATCAGCGACGCCAAAGCAACGCTAGATGGAGGGGATGTGCTTTTTACAGGTAGGTGAAAGGTCCTTTCATGTGATATCTTCATCTGGTTTGGATTGAAAGCTCAAAACAAGAAAGCTTTTTTTCAGAAAGAAAGATGTTAAAGCTGTTTGTCTGAAATCAGCTCTTAAGTTTTGGATTCAACACTTAGAGGAGTAAAGATATTTGTCTGAAAGGAATTGTGTTTTAATCTGTCATTAGATTTGTTAATTTCAAGTACTTTGCTTTAATCCATTGACAGTAAATTCTAGCTTGTCATGGAGACCGTTCCCAGATACCTCATCACATCATTAGTCTATGTTCCATTTGCTGGTGTGATGTCAAGACATATTGCCCATATGCTAGACAATTGCCTTAACGTGTAAAGTAGCATTCACTAATGCATGTTCATCCTTGCCAGAATGTAGGGAGAGTTTTATCATCGTTATTATTTTAAAGCTGATTGTTTTTGTAACGTTTAGAGAGTCTTAACTTTACATATGCAGTTTGTGTCTTTCAGAGTATCCTCATTTTGGCCAATCCCTCATATTGTTTATATTGCCAATCCCTCATATTGTTTATATTGTTTATATGTGAAGGTTTCTGCTATGTTATTCCTCCATAGAGTTTATGGAAAACAAGATGTAAAATTATGAAACTGCTCATTTTCACACACACAGTATTTCTTCACTTTGTATGATGAGAGAGAAGTGTTTCCTCAAGGACCTTACTTCTGGTTTCAGGCAAGGAATTCTTTGTGGGTTTGTCGTCCCGCACAAACCAGGCCGGAGCATGTGCCCTTGCGTCTGCCTTTCCTGAGTTTCCGTGCACACCTATCAAGGTCTGTGCTATGCCGGTCGTTTATACTACTGTGATTTCTCTCAAAATATTCTTTTGATGTCCCACCCTTCTTTTTGTATAAAGTAAAATCAAGATTTTTTTCTTCCTGTGATAACATATCATTTCTGAAAAGTAAAATCAAGATTTTTTTCTTCCTGTGATAACATACCATTTCTGAAAAGATGAGTGTTTAAGTAAACCTTTCATTGTCCATAGTGTGTTATAGTTTGTAAAATATGGATTTGTGCTTGTCTTGCAGGTAGATAATGCCTTACACCTGAAGTCTCTGCTGACAATGGCTGGACCAGAAGTCATATGTGTGGGTAACACTCCAGAGGCCAAAGACACCCTCAAGGTAAGAATATTTAGGAAAGAGTTTTGTGGTAATTGATAGAGCTGTTTTTCATTTTTCTTCTTTCTTTCTTTCTTTTTTACTATGCATGCTCTATTTTTTTGTTTTTCTTTTGTTTTGTTTCTTTGTCATGTAATGAATAATCTGTTGGTTCTTTTCTACTTTTTCATTTAATAATGAATTACTTGCTTGGGTTTCTTATTGTTCCATACACATTCATATAGAATTATTTACTTGGTTGTCTTCTTTTTCTCTTGCTACTCTCCCTGCTTCTCTTACTTATATGGCCTCATGAAGTTAAGTCATCAAATTGTTTATTCTGCTTCCAGAGAATCGAGAGGGAGGCCACTTTCCGCTACCAGACCCTAACTGTGCCAGACCTAGCTGCTGCCAATGTGGTTTTCGCCAATGGTTTCCTTCTACATGGAAGTGAAGACGAGTATCCGGGATCTTCCAAGGTGATAATTCCATTTGTTTTATAGATAGATGTGTTAAATTTCTATACTTTTGTTTGCATTTTTGTTGTGTGCAAATTCCTGTTTTTTTTAGTGAGGTGTACTGTCTACTGAATATCGGATCTAGTTTGAAAAGAGAATGATTTATAAGTGTGTAATATTTGTTAGAAAGTTATTGTTGATTCACAATATTGAGAGGAAGAGTGGGAATTATCAAGAAGACTCTTTGAGTAGAAAAGGAATTTACTTCATTCTTTACTCATTCATTTTAACTTGTAATAAATAAAGAGAAGAAGATATATATTCTGTACTTCTGTTTCAGATCTTTGAAGAGAAACTCTCCCACTGGACCTTAAAACCAATGGCCTTTACGGAGTTGTTGAAGTCTGGCGGCAATCTCTCAAGTTGTTCCATTCTCATACGCAAATCTCGGCATCTCAAGAATATCATGTAACATTGCTTTTAACATTACATCAACGTTCCTTCGGGAATCATATTCAACTATGTAACTATATGTACATACATATACATGTACATATATGCATAGATGTTTGTATGCATTGTTTGCACATACACATTGTATATATGCCGGATATATACAAATACAACCACAGGTCTTATACAGAAATAGTTGAGGAGTTAAACCTGTATAAATGCTAGCCGATACATATACCTTCTTAAGACTAGGAGAATTAACATATGAAGAAGTCAGAGAAGGTGTAGTCCAAAACCCGAGTCTTTTTATCTTAGATCACAAGATGATTAATTAACTTTTTAAAAAGCCCTCAGATACTTAGACCTTGTCTCAAATTTTTGTCTGGGATGAAAAAGGCCGCGTGTGAAGTCACGGCCACTTAAAGTCTCAGGACGTCTATGCTATGCAGTCGATATATATCTCCCAAGTTTTGTGAATATTCCTCGCTGATCTATCTCAAGGTTAGGGTATGTGTGATGGGCTTCGTGTATGTATGGATAGATATTGGGTGCTCACAGGAAAGTGTACAGATAGATTATGATTTATTGGTGGTATTGCTGATCGTCAGTAAGAAAACAGGTGCTGATGCTCTGTAAACAATCAGCTTTTGATATCTCTTTCCACTACGGATCTGAAGCATGCACAACTTTTCTATATCAAGGTGTTGGATTTTTGGGGGTGGAAAATAGAAAATGTTGTGGGAATAGTTTTTTTTTCTTCTTCTTCTTCTTTTACTCAGTGGAAGTCAGCACTTGGATGAAGCAAGTGCTTGATGCATATTTGGCCTTTAAAGGTAGTATTATTAGAAGTCACCCTGTAAGTAGCTGCAGCACTTTCCATGCCCTCTCAGAGACGATAGTGATTTTTTAACACCTTATTCCTGTACAAAAGGTGAATTCACTAATCTTAATGATGAAAGACACCAGCAGTGCCATGTATATTTTGTCACCAGCTTAGGCAGTGCAGTAATTTTAAACTTTAGTGATGATAAGCCAACTTTTTTATACACATTTACCACACAGTTCTTGTATGAATTTCTGCTGGGAGACATCAATGGTAATCTCTCTTCTGGTACAGAGCTTTCTCGGGACTAAGCACAGGCAAGCTACAGGCCCTACCTTATGACGTACCACACAGCACTCTTGTTAACCATGGTTGTGAATATCCTCGCTGATATAGTATTAATAACTGTTCTCGTTTCTGTGCTTCATTTCTTCCCTTTCTTTATCTATGTCTTATTTCTTAGGGGGGAGTATTTCAGATTTCTTTGGGGGTGGGGGGGTGAGTATTGCAGAAGAGGAGGAGCTCTTGTAGAGAAAGTCTGTCTTCAGCTGTGTAGGATGCCTCTCAAAGGATATTCATAACTGTGGAGTGGGATTTTTGTTTTCTTCCTTTTTTTATTATTATTAAGGGGAAGGGAGGGGCAGCATGTATCTTTAGTGGCATTTTTCTTTACATTTCTTTAATGTAGAGATAATTGGGTGATCCTAACCATTTATAAACTTAAGCTAAATAACAGTATTTACTGTTTAGGTGCTATATCATTCCAAGAGATTATTTTTTAATCATCATCAGAAATTTGCATGAAGGAAAGCAGATCTGACATGTAGAGTAAGTGAACATTTCTGAAATGTGGCGAACACATATGCATTAAGTGTCCGCGTGCATACGGTGTCTTGTTGATTAGTCCTGTTGTGGGATATTAGACTATAAGGTATAGACTTAAAATTTTCCTTCCTTTTAGCCTTTAAGTTCTGCATTTATGGCATTGGTGTATTAGAGATTAGTTTAACAGTTGCTTAGATTAGCCAGTGCTTACACGTGCAAAGACTGCCTGTCATTCCACTTCTGATCTTCTTCATTTTGAATGTGAAACTAATTGTCTTTCAAAACTGGAAGAAAAGGGACGTGAATTTTTTTTTTTCCTTTCTTTTCTTTTTTCATCTTTCCCCCCCCCCCCCCCCCTCACTCAGTTATCATAAGATCTGATAGTATCGAGGTTGCCTTGTCCAGAGTTCAAGGAAATAAAACCTTATTCTTTCATGTATCCAGTGTATTTCTTGTCACGTTTTGAACATGATAGCAGAGTTGTTCCAAATATTTACCTCTCCTGTTATTTTGATTAATGAAAGATTCAAAGTATTAAACCACTAATACTTTTTTTGTGTGAGATGTCAACTTGGATGCCTACATAGACATAGTAAGAATTGAAAATATGCTCATAAACACACTGGGACCACTCTTGCTGGTATTATGTTTCAAAGAAACCTAAGGAACTAACTTGAATACAAACAGCTTCATAGTGCTAGGCTTTCTTTATGTGAAGCATAGAAAAAAAAAGAGAAAAAGTATGATAATAAAAAGGTATTCACAAAAAGATGTGTTGCAAGAGAAAGTCCACAGCTTTTGGTTCACTTTCAAAGGACTTTCTAAAGTTGCCTTTCCCTATGAAATATGAGGCATAGTGAGCACACATCATTTTGAAAGATATCTGCAGGGGTTGTAATGCCACTTTGCAACTGCAAGACTAAATAGAAGCAAATCTGTGGGTGCATTATGTGCAAATTACAGCTCTTTGTACCTTCTTTATTTTTTGCACAGGCATGATAGGTTTGTTTTTGAGTTGTGTTTTGATGGCACTAATACTTTGACTTGATTTGTGCTGGCTCCTTACTCAGTTGGGAAAAAAAAGATACAAATACAAAGATACAAATGAGTAGGTATCTTGGATTGTGTTTCTAGGCGTATGTGAAAAATGTTTTAAAGTACTGAATACATTATTTATAATTGGTCTGCCAACAGTTCGACTGATATGTTCGCCTTATATATTTTTTTATTGATGTTCGTAATTTGATAAGGTCTAGATAAGGTTTTAGCATAATTCATAATTGTAAAAGGAATTTAAACAGAATAAGACAGATTAGGTTTCTAAACATAGAGTTAATATAATGTTGTGAATTTGCCAAATTACAGAAATGGACAGTAATATGTAGTATCTTCATTATTACCGAATTGCGAAGGTTAGTGAATAGTTTTCAACAACGAAGGGACGTTCGGAGATGTACACGAGAACCACTGAGGAAGTATTCTGAGTGAAGAGGTTGCATGAAGAAAGTCGGTGCTATGTGATGAGCTGAACCTGTTTTTTGTGTATAGTGTGTAACAGGCACAGTGTTATAAGTGCTGTCTTTTTGTGGTCAGTGTTACAGTTAGTGATTTTCTTAATTGCAGTTCCTAAATTCTTTGTTTGCTGAGAGGAGCTTCTATATATATATATTCCCTCCCCCCCTCTCTCTCTTTCTCTTTCTCCTCTCTCTCTCTCTCTCTCTCTCTCTCTCTCTCTCTCTCTCTCTCTCTCTCTCTCTCTCTCTCTCTCTCTCTCTCTCTCTCTCTCTCTCTCTCTCTCTCTCTCTCTCTCCCCCCCCTCCCTCCCTCCCTCCCTCCCTCCCTCCATCTCTCCATCTCTCCATCTCTCTCTTTCTTCCTTCCTTCCTTCCTTCCTTCCTTCCTTCCTTCCTTCCTCCCTCTCCCTCTCCATATATCTTTCTCTTCCTCTTTCCCTTTTTTCTCTCCAAATATCTGTGGTGAAATCAGTTGGGGGAAGGAATTGGGAATCTTATACATTTAGAAAAAAGAAAAAAAAAATACAACTGAAAAACAGCAAGACAAGAAAAATAAACTGTTTTTTTTTCTTTCTTATTTTGTACATCATTTTAGTTTCATTTGTGTCGACTTTAGGTCATGAGCCTTGCATAAGAGAAGTGATTAGTAAGGTTGGTAACATACAGAAGAACATTGCTTCTTCAGTTGCTAAATTCAAAAATAATATATCAGCAGCTATTTATTATTATTATTATTGTTATTATTATTATTATTATTATTATTATTATTATTATTATCATTATTATTATTATCATTATTATTATCATTATTATTATCATTATTATTATTATTATTATTATTATTTTTATCTTTCTTTATTTTTTTTTTGTTATCATTATTGTTGTTATTATTTTTGTTATTATTATTATCATCATTATTGATATTAATATTGATATTATTATTATTATTATTATTATTATCATCATCATTATGATTATTTTTGTTATCATTATCATCATCATCATCATCGTTATAATGATTATTGTCAATATCATTATTATTGTTATTATTATAAGATATCTTATGCAGGCTACATGCATTTGGCTCCTAACAAAGTGGCATTGAACATTCTTATGCTTGTATCTCTCCATGTGCAAAATTTAATTATTCATGCTGTCAATCAGTCATTTTTTCATTGTCATTATTGTTATTGTTTGTTGTTATTATTATTATTATTATTATTATTATTATTATTATTATTATTATTATCATCATTATTATTATCATCATCATTTTTATTATTACTACCATCATCATATGTTGTTGTTATCATTATTATTATTATTATTATTGCTATTATTATTAACTTATTTGCCTCTCACAGCTATAGCATTAATCCCAGTTACTCGCCCAGTCTCCAGTAGTTCCTCCCCATCAGAATGCAAATGCATGCGATGTTGGACTTCGAATATATGATAGAGAATAGGATATCGTGAATGGGCATCTTCCATTCTGGGTTTATGATGGTACTGTTTCATGTTGTTTGTTGGGAGTAAGTATAAGCTAGATTTAGCCGAATTATGTCATCAGTCTTTGTAATAATTGTGTACGTGTGTTTTACTCATGTGATGCGATCTTCTTGTAGGTATAGAGTGATAGTATTTTTTTTTTTTTTTTTTTTTTTTTGGTTTTTGTTTTTTTTCATCTTCTTTCTTTCTTTCTTTTCTTTATTCATTTTCTCCTCAAAAAATCTTCCTGTAGCTAGCCTGGTAAACTATACTTGACAAACAAACGATGCCTTAAAGATAGCCTTCAGATGAAATTCTCAAACTTTCACATGTACCACGCAAGTTCTTGATGTCGAAAGCAAGCACATGATGCCAGTATTATTTTTATGCTTCATGGGCACCAGCAGAAGAGAACCCGTTTTGACCAAGCTGTGATGAAGATTTAGGGACTGGTACCTTCATAGGAAAGGGCTTAGCACAAGTCTGATGAGGTGGTCAGACATCTTCTGGTAGATCTGAAGAGAGAGCAGCACTTGCCCACTCAAGGTGTTTTAATTGTATTTTTTTTGCCTGTTATTGGAATTGTAACATCACACAGTCTTGATCTCATGACATATGTACAGATACAGAAGCATACATAAGCACACACAGACAGTGAAGACAAGGACATATAAACACATGCACACAAGACAGGTACACACACACATGCACACACATACACACCTACTTCTCAAAGAGTACTGTAGACATTAAAAAAAAAAATACAAATAAAATAGCATTATTAATATTCAGAACAAATTATACCATTACAGGCAAGAAAAAATATATATATAATGATAAGATATACATCTGTAGAAAAGATGTTTCCAAAATGGAATTAGTTTTTATATGTACGTAAGGTAGCTACTGTAACATAATAACATTATGTAACTATACCATTCCATATGCTGGAAAACAATTTTTTTTTCTCCCATGTTGATACTTAAAGTGAAAGCTTTTATGCCATAGAAGTGAGACATACACACCTTAATTATTACTATCATCATTATTGTTATTATCATCATAATTATATCTTGTGTATTTCTCATCTCAGCAGAATGTCCGAGCAA